GGGGCAGCGGGCGTGGGGAGGCACTTTTCCTCTGCCCGGCAGCTCTGCGGGACCCCAGTCGGAGCCGGCCCGAGGAGGAGGAGGATCCTAGGACCCAGGTGAGTGAGCCCCGGGAATGCTGCTGCGCATGTGCGGGAGTTGCCTCACCCCGTTCGTATCTAGGAATCCGAGGTAAGTCGGATCCACGTAAGTCGGGGACTGCCTGTATTCCCAACACACAATGTATGAGTTTTTTTCAGCAGTGTAATGCAAATCATACCTCCTTTTGGCTCTAAGCTCATGGGCACTGGCTCTGAAAGAGAATGAAAATTTAATGATAAATTGTTATGCTCCACATGAGAAAAGCAATCCATGCAGAGTTTATAGCTAAACTATCTATCCTAGGTACAATTTTCAATAGCATCTAGGGACTACCATGAATTAGCGTATATAACCCGCTCTCATGTATAACCTGTGGCTTTTCCTGATTGTGTAAAAAAAGTCTTAGATAACTCACTGACGAGTATAACCCGCAGGTTCTATATGCTAATTCATGGTGATTGCACATACCAGCTGCCAGCAGGGGGAATGGAGAATACAGTGCAGGCTTGTGAGTAAAAATAAACGTGTATACCCCGCGGACATGTATATCCCGCGGGGGGGGGAGTTGTAAAAACATGTATAACCTGCAGGTTATATCAGCTAATTTACGTTAAATCCCAATGACTTTCAACGAGAGTTAAATTCTTAAATCAGTTAAGTGCTTTTGAAGAAGTAACTCTCTTTATATACTCTGTTACATAACCCTGTAGAATGCCAGGCACGCTAATAAGTTAGCCCTACAGCACAAAAGCTAGTAGAAGAGAGTGGAAACCAGCATCTACCCAGCTTCACCCCACTTGGACAATTAGAGCAAGAACTTAGCTAACAAGAACAAATATTAATTGTAAGAATGTAAGGATCGTCATACTGGGTCAGACCAATGGTCCATCTAACCCATTATCCTGTCTTCTAACAGTGGCCAATGAAAAGTATTTTTCAGCACTTGCTAGACATCCATCCATCCATCTGAGCATTCTTGCACTCTGAAGTCTCATTTAATTTCAGGCATTAGAGCCAGCCAAATAGAGCTCATGAGACTACTATGGGATACACTGTCCTTCCTGTGGAAGGGAAGGGCATGACAAGATTTCAGCAAGAAAATGGCAAATGAAATGTAATGTTGATAAATGTAAAGTAATGCACTTTGGAAAAAATAATCCCAACTATACATACAATATAATGGGGGCTAATTAAGCTACAACTAATCAAGAGAGCGATTTTGGAGTCATTGTGGATAGTTCTCTGAAAACATCCACTCAATGTGCGCAGTGGCACTCAAAAAAGCAAACAGAATGTTAGGAATCATTAAAATGGGATAGAGAATAAGACAGAAAATATCTTAATGCCTCTATATAAAACCATGGTACGCCCACATCCTGAATACTGTGTACAGATGTGGTCACTTCATCTCAAAAAAGATATATTGGCATTGGAAAGGGTTCAGAAAAGGTCAACAAAAATGATTAGGGGTTTGGAATGGGTCCCACATGAAGAAAGATTTTAAAGACTTTGCCTTTTCAGTTTAGAAAAGAGGAGACTAAGAGGGGAATATGATAGAGATCTATAAAATCATGAATGGTGTGGGAAAAGTGAATAAGGAAAAGTTATTTACATATTTCCACAATATAAGAACTAGGGGTCACCAAATGAAATTAATAGGCAGCAAGTTTAAAACAAACAAAAGTAAGTTTTTCTTCACTCAGCGCACAGTCAACCTGTGGAACTCCTTGCCAGAGGAGTGGTGAAGGCTAGGACTTTAAGAGGGTTAAAAAAAGAGCTAGATAGATTCATGGAGGTTAGGTCTATTAATGGCTATTAGACAGGTCTGTTTCTCCAAAGGTGGGTGAGAGGAGAGGGATCAACAGAGGATTATCTGTTGTGTCCCCTCCTTTTGGGGCATCTGGTATTGGCCACTGTTGGCAGACAGGATAATGGGCTGGATGGACCTTTGGTCTGACCCCGTATGGCTGTTCTTATATTCTTAAGATGCCCTTACGCACTGTTCATCACAAAATAGTTTCTCATATTTTGTGATCAGATCAGAACATTTTCAATGTCTAGAGCCCTGCATGGATACAAAAATGTGAATCCGCATCCGATCCACTTCCGCCAGGCTCAACTCATCATCCGATCTGCAATCAGTGATCCGGATTTTACTTGCATCTGTACAACAAACCATCTGGTGGGGAGGGGGAAGAGAACACTGATGAGCGAGAAGGGGGCAGGGTCATGGCGGGAAGAGACAGGCAGCACAAAAGCAGGGACTGGGAGTAAGGGGCAGCAGGGACCCGGAGCCAGGGCTCCATAGGTCAGTGCTCACCAGGTGGAGGGGGGCAAGGTTGCACAAGGTTGGCACTCAACCTCCTCCTGCAGGGGGATTTAGGACAGAGCTTGTTGTGTCCTTTCTGAGCAGAGGCCTGCCCTGGTGGGAGGTGTTCGATCCACTTCCGCCAGGCTCAACTCATCATCCGATCTGCAATCAGTGATCCGGATTTTACTTGCATCTGTACAACAAACCATCTGGTGGGGAGGGGGAAGAGAACACTGATGAGCGAGAAGGGGGCAGGGTCATGGCGGGAAGAGACAGGCAGCACAAAAGCAGGGACTGGGAGTAAGGGGCAGCAGGGACCCGGAGCCAGGGCTCCATAGGTCAGTGCTCACCAGGTGGAGGGGGGCAAGGTTGCACAAGGTTGGCACTCAACCTCCTCCTGCAGGGGGATTTAGGACAGAGCTTGTTGTGTCCTTTCTGAGCAGAGGCCTGCCCTGGTGGGAGGTGTTAACAAGGAGCATTTTATTTCTTTAGTTAGTTAATTACTGTGTGTAGAGCACTTTGAAGCATGATAAGTACTAAGTGTTATCATTATCTGGATGTACACGTAAGTTATTTACGAAGATAGGTGCATAGAAATGGCTGCTGCTCTCCCTACCTGGTTTGGGTAAGACTCTGTAGAGTGCTTCCATGCCACCGTGAATATGATCTGACACGTGGCAATGAAGCAACCACGTCCCAGGGTTCCCAACTAGCATCTCCACCATTTCGAAGGTCCCGGGGAAAAGATCCATAACGTCTGCCCTGTAACTCTTGCCATTCTGTCAAAAAGGGAGAGGAGATGTTAGCATGCAATGGTTCATGTATCTTTAGAGTAGCAGTGGGGGGCCTTTTTTAGCTTGGAGGCCACTCACCCACAGGAAATTCAGTTGGGGGCCACACAAAAGTGAGCGGCCCCCGACTGAGAAGAAAGACACTTTCCACATTCCCCTAACACAACAAAGTCTAGGATGGCCTGAACTGAACATCCAACTGCCTGAAGTTAGTGGAGGAGCCAAACAAATATCATTGACTCATAGAATCATAGACTCCGAGGGCTGGAATAGACCTCTGGAGGTCATGTAACGATATCCAGCCCCAACCTTCTCTTGCAGCTGGGTTCTGCAATCAGCAGGAGTCTCACCTTGTATGTGAAGGTCTCGGCATGAAAATGAACAGTATGAACATCAAACTCCTGGCCCATTCCAAGCAGGTACCAGTTCACCCACTCTCCTTGGAGCATAGTCAGCCCAGGCAAGTTTGCATAGATCTTCCCATTGATGGCTGTGGAATAGAGAACATGTTGAGAAAGCAGACGTGCCTGTTCTGCCGGTGATAAGCCCCTCACACCATGTCAGCACCAAAACAGTTTCCTTCAAGGCAAGTTCAATATTTCAAAGCTCAATCAGGCTTGCAAGTGGCTACTTGGTGAGATTTCATTGCACAATTAGCACAACAACGAGAGCTGCACCCTATCTACAAGCGAAATAAAGATCCAAAACTATGAAAGAGCAAAAAAATAAAGCAAGGTAGTACACAAATAAATCTCTACTGAGGGCAATAGGAAATGGTAAATGCTGGAGAGACACAGGGTATGAAGCCAGGAACCTCTGTAGCTGAACTTTTCTGTTCTGTCTCTTTTGCTTGGACAATAGTAATGACTAGTTGTCAGCTAGCTACAACTGTGACCGGGGCCTTATAAATGCCAGAGTAATAACAGCAACACAGGGCCGGATGTCTGTGGTGCTGAGCAGCACTAACGCTAAAGGAAGCACCTCCCAGGAATCAGGCCTTTGTATACTACGCCTCTGTCAGCCAAAGCTCAGTGTGCCTTACTCAATCAGCAATCTAAATCATGCCTAAAAATCTAAAAGCAAATGGCTCCTGGCTGGATTTCTAATTCTGATCGTGAGGCCAAAAGATGCACATTAAGGACTGACTCTCCTTGTCTCTGCACCTTTGTCGATTAAGACCCTGCAAATGGCAAGGACAGCGCCAGTCAAATATGTGAAGTGAAGGCCGCGCACCATGCATTTTGTTGCTTTCCACAAATTCTTCATCCTGCAGGTTGATTTTGCTCTGATTCCCTTGTGCGTACGTTTTCACATTTTCCTCCAGGTACCAGGACAGATTTTCATCAAAAACCAGGAAGAGGAGAGCAAACTCCCTGTTGATGCCCTTCCTCCTTCCATCAGAACCCAGTGCCCCTTTACGGCAGACCTTTAGGGGGCCAATCAGGCCACTGTACATATCCTAATAGGAAAGAGAAGAAAGTCTGAGATGTTCAGAAATGGGGACTCGCCTCCCCTCCCTCCTGCACGCAGCTCCACTACCATTCAGCACCTTGGTTTGCTGCTCCCTGCAGTACTCTCCATAAAGTACATTGCGAGCCAATGAATAATCAGCATTGCCTGTGAAATACAGCCTGTTGGAACTAGCTAACAGAAACTCCAAGTGCAGGGCCAGATGTTAGTAGTTAATTACTGTCGTGCATTGGGTGCAACCTGAAGCTGCACTCTCCTGCTGACAGTAAAAGGGGATGTTAAGCCAGCCCTTAAGAAATACATGCATCTGTTCCATAGCTGTTCTGCCACATAGTACAGAGCAGCCTTATCTCCTCCCTGCCCTATTATTTGTCTTGGGAGGACCGAGCACGCTAGTAAAAAGTGAAACTGCAGCTGACCTCTGCACAGATAATGAAAGGTATTTGAAGAGGGCTTCCTGAACTCCCAAACAAAGGCCAGGATAGGTGCTTTAAGGTTTGCAAATCAACAGACACAATATTAGTGAAATAATACAATATTTTCCATTTAATTGACTGCACAAATACTGAGGTTTGGGAATAAAACACAAATGGTTTCTGTGGCTAAATGAGATACTCTATAGGCAGGATTCTCAGTTAATGTTATCTGAAGTTTAGGGGGCGTTGCTTTTTCTTTGTTAAATAAATCCATATGCCATAACAAGGTATAAATGTCCAAAGCTTCCTGAATTATCGAGGTTGCCCAATTCTGAATGAATTCTGCCTTTCCAAATTAAGCTCTGAGCTGTCTGTCTAGGCAAAGCCATAACTGGGGGTGGGAGGAATGTGATAACACTATATAAATATCTGAAGGGTGTTAATGCCTAGGAGAGGGAGGAATGATTTTATGAGGAACAAGATAAGAAAGTGAAAATTTAGGCTTAATGTCAAAGATAAAATTCTCACTAGTAAGATCTATTCACCTGTTGAATTGTCTCCCAAAAGGAAATGGTAGAAGTTCCAGCACATGGACTATTACGTTCTAAACTGGATCAAATTCTAAATATATCTTACAGGGAACACTGTAAATTATTTCCTGGCAGACTGTCTAGACAAGCTCTGGAGCTTTTCCATTTCTAACTTGTTTTAGTCTAAGATACCAACCAAGTTTTACCTTCACAGGGTCCACCATGGAGTAGTAAACCCAAGAAACACAGGCAGAATCATTTGGTGCTGGACCAGATCTTTCAGGAACATCCCAGCGGTAAGTTACAATGTCACCTGAGAGACAAAGAAAAGTGATGGTAGTAATATTCATTGTTGTTTGTGCTGTAGAAGCAATGAGCAGTGGGGCAGGACTCCTTGGTGGTGTACACTCACAGAGCAAAAAGATGGTACTGGTACTACCTGACCAAAGAGTGACATTATAGGAGTCTCACTGGACATAGCAGCCTTTTTTCCTGATTGTGAACAACAGAATAGAGACTCTTTCATCCTTTTACGAAAGTGTGATGGGGAGTGGGAAAGAATCTGCCCTCCAACTTGTGGGAAAACACCTCCCTCTACCTGCTGGCAGAGCTGGTCACCTCGTTGGCAGTCTCTGTGAGGCCAAGCGCTGACTAGGAGATGGACACTAAACGTCCCTGAGATCGAATGCTGAGAGATGCAGAACCAGCACTCTAGTCACTGTTAGCACCAATCAAGTTCTCCAACAAAGACCTGATTGGTTAGGGCTGTGCCTAATGATTATTAGGCCACACGGGGGCTAGGAAAGGAATGCACTAATTAGCCCATTAACAGACAAGTAGTTTAAAAAGAGCTCAGGAAGGCTGTAATTGAGTTGAAAGAGCAGGAGAGAATGAGAAGGCCAAGTGAGATCGACAAAGGTCAATTGTGGAGTAGAGCTGCCTCACTTTTTTCAGAGAAGAGATTAGAGGGTTGAGATACAGATCAGAGGTTGGAGACCCTACTATGTGCTGATTGAGGGATTAAAACACTGTCAACTATCTGGTGACTTTTTCACGTAAGGAGGTCTCAGTGTGGTCAGTGTTTGTGGACAAGGGGGGAGGGGCGTAGCATTCTGCTCACTTGCAACTGGGGGCCTGCTTGAGATGTACCTATATGCATGTGAATAGCTGGTACAGGGTTCCCTCCATGTGCCAAATCCCTGCAATGGCAAAGCGAGATCCTGAAGACCTTCCAGTGACCTGTCCCATGCAGAGGAACAGCCCTGGCTTGCCTTTTGATGGGCTAATTAGCTTTCTAGTCCTAAAGGGGCCTAATAATCAGACTCTCCCCAGACCATTCAGGCCTTACTGATGCTAATAAGTGGCCAGAGTGCAGGATCAAGCTCCACGTCTGAGCAGTCTGTCCCTCTGCCTCTCATTTCTAGAGGGGAGCCCTTTAGGCTAGGAGTGCACTGGTGATGAGTAATGTGGGGGGATGGGGCAGGTTGCATTGCCTGTACCCAGGGTGTCTGTCCTCTGTGGATAAAGAGGACGTTACTCTGTAGTGCTGCCAAGCCAGCACATTCAATGAACAATAAAAACACACTGCAAACAAACGGCCAGTTTCTAGTCCGCTCCAATTGCCTATCACATTCACACAAACACACCAGAATAACTTCTACCTCCCTCGCTGAGTCTTTTTATTGGGCTGAGTTGTCTTTGCTTATGTACAAAAGTCACCCCACGCAATGAATAGGTGACCACGGACTCACCTGGCTTTGCTGCTTCCACCTGTCCATTATTCCTTTCCAGTACCCCATGGGCATGAATGGAGTAGGGTTGTGTAGCATTGTTCTTAAACACAATGTTGAGAACATCTCCAACTTCTGCCCAGATAAAAGGACCTTGAGACAGGAAGATCACACTGTGAGTGCAGCTTCTTTCAATGGCCAAAAGAGAGTCTCATTATGGATATCACTTTAATGAGGGGGTGTGTGGTGACTTCTTCGTCTCCATCTCCATCCTCCCCTTCCCCAAAGTAATGAATCACAGTTAAACCCACATTGAAAATGATCCTGAAAACTCTGATTGTGATCTCTTCAGGGCAGGGAATATGACTTGCTATGAGCACAGCAGCCAGCACAATGGGACCCGCTCCTGATAGCTGGGCACTACCATAATGTAGATGATACATCATCATCATCCACCTACAATCCCAAATGTTCTGGTGACCTGACACTGAAATGGTCAGAAACTGACTGCTCACAGGCATAGCCTGATCTTTGGATGGGCTGCCTCGTGTTGCCTGTGCTGTATTGAACTATCCTGGAGTGAGGCAGTGGAGCTGTTGCCTTCTTGGATTCTCATGAGAACCAACAGAGTGCTCCTCTGCGCCAGGGTGCCTAGGGCTTTCTTTTAATGATGCTGCACACAGGGGTTTCTTTCACACTTGGAGATTTCCATCCAGAGCTCTCAACGTGCTTTATGAAGGTAGAGTGGAGGGGGAGATGTGAGAACTGACTTGGCCATAGTCACACATCCATGCGGAGGCAGAGCTGGAGTCAAACTCAGTTCTTCCAAGTCCTAGTTCCTTGGTTCATCCTTAGGACCAAGATCCAGTCCTGTCCGAGTGAAAGATGCACCCCACAAATAATGGCTTACCCAATATCCCTAAATGCTCCTCGTCGCCGGTCCTGTTCTTGGGTATTCTGAATGTCCCATCAGTGTATTCCCTGTAAATTGCCTTCTTGTACTTGGAGCCCAGGAGTCCGTTCTCATTGCTCAGAAATTGGTTGCCATAGCTGAGAAGTGCAAATGCCATGTTACGTTATCACTGCTCTGTTTCATATTAAAGACACAGCATTTCATTCTCAGCAGAGGGTTCATTAACCAAACTGGATTCCTCTCTGAAGAATCCCCAGTTTCCTGTTATGCCAGCTGAGAGAGGTGAATGGCCCTGGAAGCTGGTAAAAGGACACAGAGCCACACACTTCCAAGCCACCCATTAGACTCTGTCTCTGGAATATAGCGATCAAAGTTACCTCACTCCATATGAAGGATGGCTGCTCACTGGCTTACGGATGGGGGTAGGGGAAAGTCAGTCTATTTGGAAGTGGACACAGGTCTGCATCCAAAAAAAAAAAAGCCACCACCTAAGCTGGCACTAGAGGGGGCAGCTAGTATTGAAAATGGGCCACAGAGACTGAGGCAACATCTAGACTGCAGGCTTCTTTCAGAAGAAGCTTTTCCAGAAGAGATCTTCCAAAAAAACTTCTTCCAAAAGAGCGTCCACACTGCCAAAGCGCATCGAAAAATCGATCCGCTTTTTCAAAAGATAGCATCCACACTGAATAGACACTATCTCGCATTTAAATTGTGATTACTATGGACGGAGTGACCACCAGGGCACCTCTGCTTTTTCCTCTTCTTCCGAAAGAACTCCCTCTTCCCCATCCACACACCTTTTTCCAAAAGAGCTCTTTTGCAAAAAGGCTTCTTCCTCGTAGAAAGAGGATTACCAGTGCAGGAAAAACCCCTCTGTTCGTTCGATTTTCTTTCGAAAGAACGCGATTGCAATGTGAATGTAATTGAAGTTTTTTCGGAAAAACGGCTGTTTTTTTTTTAAAAGAAACCCTCTGTACTGTAGACATACCCTGAATTTCCCTCTCACATATAGATTTTCAAGGAGCTACAGCATTCAGGGAGGAAAAACGCTGCCAACATTTGGATTAAAGAGGATAATTTGTCCTGAAACCCCCGATGAGGGCTGTCTGCCATACCATGGCATGGGCAGCCAGTGGCCATCCAATCAGCAGAAGGTTGGCTCGCCACTTCCCTGTTGTAATGTATTCATGGGTTTTACACAGGCTTCCCCAAGATCCATTTTTACCTTTCTTGCTCAGAGCTGCTGTGGCGTTCCAGCTCCCAGCTGCGATCTGGTGAATAGTCCCACTCCACCTCTTGTGCCATGATGTAGTGTGTCCGTACCTCCTTATATTGGTGGTCAGGAGCAGATGCCCCTTTGCCACACTTTGTAACAGAGTAATGCTCCTTCATCCCAGACTGGTAATGGTTGCTAGTCTGACAGTAGATCTCAAAAGTGCCTAAGAGAAGCACAAACAAAAAGATCAGCTCTAAACATCCAAGCAAGTCATTGCCTCACCATGTGAGATGAACTGGGAAATAGCTGCATTATTTCTTATGAATATGGTGCATACCTCTGTCTGTGTTTATAATGTGTTCCTTGCTATGGGAGTGAGCTTAAGAGTTCTTGTTAGAGGATGAAAGCAGGAAAGCAAAACAATAGCCTAGATAAGGAACATCCAAGCAACCACACACCAACCAAATTACTTACACACCAGCCAATAATTGGCTGTAAAAGAGGTACATGTGCCCACAATGTTACACAGCTGTTTTCCCAGGCATGAATCAAGACAGATCAAAAGACACTGGCCAGTTAAATGATTCATCCTGCAGAAAGGGAGGGAGAGGAAGGACTGACAGAGTGAGAAGGTCTCCAAGGATTACAACAAACTCTCAGATTCAGATCGGAGGTCTGGAATAAACAGGACCTACCCATGCTGTGACTAGAGATGCTAACCTTGGTATGACATGATACATACAGGACCTGTTTTTTTTAAAGTCATTGTCCAAAATGCAGTGTTCCCTCGGCAAATCAGTACTCTGTTTTCAAGGTCCTTCTATGTCACTGCAAACTTATTTGTCACAGGCTGCCCAAGTGTCAAAACCACTTGGGTGTCAGGTTAACACAGTTGGGAAAATGAGCGCTACAGCCTACAGTTCTACTTTGTGAGTGGTATAGCTGGGAAGTTCCACCCCAAGTAAAGCACAGGAAGCCAGTGCTGTCCTTTGAGGGATGCACTCAAGAGGAAGTGAAAGGGGTTTTAAAGTGCAGTTCACTCTGCAACTGTGACATCACTTTTAGACAAATCAGCATGAGAAAACACATACCAACATTTGAGAGAACTTCTCTGATGCCCAATCAGCTGGGCAGGCATTTACCTTCATGGTCAGGCTGCATGAGAGCGGTAGCAACAGTGTGAGGGAATAGATTGGTTGCAACTCTCCTCATCCCATTCATCTGAATGGTGTTTCCCTGGAATGCTGCTCCATGCACATCTGTTTCACTGCCCAGACCCAGAAAGTGCCAGGACACAGTGTCCCCTTTACATACTTCCAGCTTGGGCAAGTTATAGAACATAAATCCATTAATCGCTGCAACAGAAAAGAATTAATACCAACTAGTTACACACTAGCCAGGAAGTCATCTCTGTACACATACCTCCAATTCATTTCCTATGGGAATTGCATATTGCTGGGTATTCCTCATTATAGCTCACCAGCAATTCACTCCCGGTATTTACTTGAATCATGGACTGGGTGTGACGGGGTGATGCAACCCCACACTACCTTTGGCCCCCTCCGGGAGCCAGAGGGAGACGAACTGGTGCTCCACGCCACCAGGGAGACCACGGCGGCATCAGGCGCACGCCGCGCGGCCGGTGAGTGGGCAGGGGAGGTTGCGGCGGCAGCAGGAATGGCTGGCGTCCCAGCTGATTCGCCGGGGGAGGTGCCGGTGCAAGTGAACGCTGACACCGGTGAGGTTGTCAGGGGTGGAGCCCGCGGGGGCGGGGGAGGAGCAAAGGTAAAAGACGCCAGTGCAGGTGTACTGGGGAGGGGAACGGTCGAGCCCCGGGAGGAGGAGAGTGGCGCCCTTGGCATTATAAGGGTGGCTGGGGCCTTCGGATGGGGAAGGGTGGTGGGGGACCCAGAGGAGGAGAGTCCGGACTCCCAGCAAGGAACGTATGGAACACCGGGGTGAGCGGGATTGAGGAAGTAGCCCAGGGCGGGCGTAATTGGATTGCCTGCGGGCTGATGAGTTGCGGTAGGTAGCCCCATCAGCCAGATGGGGGGAAAGCGGATATTTTCCCTGACCTTAGGGCCCTGGGCTGGGGCCTGGAGAGAGGGCGGGCCCAGGCCCCCCTCACAGTCCGCTTGGGATAACCATAGGAGCGAATCGGTTAGGAAACACACGCCTGACTAGGAGGGGCAGGTCGGGGTGGTATAGGACCATGGAGGCAGAGAGAGGGGGCTTGAGGACGTGACCAAGTCACCCCGTGACACTGGGGCACAACAGTGCCTCATGTCTCATCACCCATTCTCCAAGACATTTCTATGTAGATAATTTTCAAAAGAGGTACCTTCTGATGCAAATCAGAAATTTAATTCCCAAATCCACCTGACCTTTCTCTCCCTTCCCATGGCACCTGTCCCTGCGACCCCAGCCTCATACATAGGAATTTCTGTTGGGGGAGGTGCTTTTTTTGTAAACGTGGACCACAAGGGTGCAAATGAACCCCGTATGGTCCCCAGTGTAAGCATGCTCTAGCCAGTTGTTTGTGCAGGGCTGCTCCCTGTAGGACTGTGCTACTGGTAGCGGTTCCTGATTCCTACAATTGTAGGAAAATGCTCCTGTAAGATATTGCTACCAACAGTAGCACAACCCTACAGGTAGCAGTTACATACTGTTCTTTGTATAGAACTGCTCCCTGTAGAACTATGCAGCTGGTAGCAGTTCCTTTCTGCCCTGTCTGTGCTGGGACTTTGCTTTGTGTGTTGCTCCAGCAGCCGAGCTTACCAGCTCCCGCTCCCTCCACCAGCCCTGATTTTGCCTCCAGCATCAGTTCTAACCCTGCATGCAGCTGCTTCACCCCCTGCCAGTTAATTTTCACCCCCTCCTGGGTATGTCTACACTACAGTGCTAATTCGAACTAACTTAGTTTATTCGTTTATTAGTTAATTCGAACTAAGCTAATTTGAACTAACGCGTCTAGAACTAAAAACTAGTTCGAATTAGCGTTTTGCTAATTCGAACTAGCAAGTCCACATTGAGTGGACTCTGAACAGGGCTTAAGGATGGCCGGAAGCAGTGCCGGCAGGGCTACCGAGGAGGACTTAGAGCGTGGAGATGCTGTCTTAGGCTAGCCGAGGGCTGTACTTAAAGGGTCCCGACACCCACCCCGGACAGACAGTTCTAAGGGGTGCCCCGCTTGCAAAGCAGTCCTGGCTTGGATTGCCCGGAGTACCCACACTGGGCACATCACACCACTCGGCCATCAGCCCGGCTGCACTTGCCGCAGGCTGCCATCTGGGGAGAGGGGGCAATTGGGGGGCTGCAGGAGAGCTTCCACCCCCAGAAGCCCACAGAGCCAGCCCAGTCCTCCCCATCGGGGGCTCGTCCCCCATTCCTCCCTCACCTCCTTCCACTTACCCTTCCCTAGCCCCCCTTCTTATTGATGTACAAAATAAAGATAACATGTCTTCCAAAATGGAATCTGTCTTTATTGAACAAAACTGGGGGAGACTGGGAAAAGGAGGTGGGAGAGGGGAAGAGAAAGGCTGGGAGAGGGGAGGGCAACTAACATGATCAGGGGTTGGGAACAGGTCCCAGATGAAGAAAGGCTACAGAGACTGGGACTGTTCAGCTTAGAAAGGAGGAGACGGAGGGGGGACAGGATAGAGGTCTCTAAAAGCAGGGGTTGGGTGGAGAGGGTGCATTCAGAAAAGTTCTTCCTGAGTTCCCATAAAGAAGGACTAGAGGACACCAAAGGAAAGGACTGGGTAGCAGGCTTGAAACTAGTAAGAGAAAGTTGTTGTTCTTGACAAAGCAAATAGTTAACCTGTGGAACTCCTTGCTGCAGGAGGCTGTGAAGGCTACAACTAGAACAGAGTTTAAAGGGAAGTGAGATCAAGTCATGGAGGTTGGGTCCATGGAGTAGTCTTAGCCAGAGGGTAGGAGTGGTGTCCCTGCCCAAAGTTTGTGGAAGGCTGGAGAGGGGTGGCGCAAGACAAATGGCTTGGTCACTGTCTTCGGTCCATCCCCTCCAGGGTCCCTAGGGTTGGCCGCTGTCGGCAGACAGGCTACTGGGCTAGATGGACCTTTGGTCTGACCCAGGACGGCCATTGTAAGCTCAGGGCTCAGGGTCGGGGGTCTCAGTGGACCCTCTTGATTTTCATGCACACCTGCTCCTGGATGGCCAGGCTGGCAGCTCTCCTGCCCTAGACGGCCACTTTCCTGTGCCTAGTGCGGAGATCGTGGACGAGGTCCACGATGTCCGCACTAGCCCAGGAAGGTGCCCGCCTCTTGCGGTCCAGGGCAAGCTCCCGGGAGCCGCCAGCCTGGTCCCGGGAAGAGGGGGTGGGCTGGGGTACATCGGGTGGGTGGCTCTGTGCCGTGCCAGGTGCAGGGTCTGCTGGCTGGGTGCTGGCAGGCTTGCACCTGGCACGGGCACCGTAGCCAGCCCGTGCCCCTTTAACGGGTCCGGGGCCGGGAGGGGAGCATAGAGTTTCCCTGGTGTTGGCCAGAGTGGCCACCAGGGAAAGCTGGGGAGGGCTAGCCTCCCACTAGTTCGAATTAAGGGGCTACACACCCCTTAATTCGAACTAGTAAGTTCGAACTAGGCTTAATCCTCGTAAAATGAGGTTTACCTAGTTCGAACTAAGCGCTCCGCTAGTACGATTCAAATTCGAACTAGTGGAGCGCTAGTGTAGCGGCTATGAATGTTAGTTCGAACTAACGTCCGTTCGTGTGAACTAACATTGTAGTGTAGACATACCCCCTCTGTTTAGCTCCCTTTTCCCCTTTTTAACGTCCTATAAAATGTAGCTGGCAGAAATGTATACATAGGAAGGGCAGGGGCTTCAGCAGAGCTACTGAGCATGCACAGTATCCCTTAATTCTCTCTTAGTAGCACAGTCCTTTAGGGAGCAGCTCTATACAAACCACCAGCCGGGGGAAGGCAGGAGGGTGTGCTACCCAAACTTCCTCCTCCATGCTCCAGTCGGCCAGGGGAAGGCTCAGGCTGATTCCCTCTCTTTCTCCAGTAGCGAGGCCCAGCCCCGGACTTGTTCCTGCAGGGGGCAGATCAGCGCCAGCCTTCCCCAAGCGGGCAACGTGCCACTCCTGCCTTTCCCCAGCCAGCCAGAGCACACTTACTTGTGCATTCACACTCCTCCTGCGTACCGGCCTGGACCCTTACATGCCACAGCAGTAATTAGCTATTCCAGAGTTTTTAGGATCAGGTTTGAGTTAAAGATGGATCCACACCTCACAGTTCTAGACCCAAACCTCATAATTCTGCATAAAAGAAAGCACAGCACCATACCATGCATCCTATTGGACGCCTTGAAGCCTTCATCCTTTTTCACAGAAGCCTTTTCCATCCTTAAATAGTATTTTATATTTATAGGTAAATACCAGCTGAGGTTCTCATCAAAAACACTGAACAGGAGGTAAAATTCCTTGTCGATCCCTTTCTACAACAATAATCACAATAATGGTCATTCATTTTTAAAACATGCAGCTCACCCATTCACTGTTAAAGCACAGGCTGCTTGCATGATGGCAAGTTCTGTGTTTTTGTTTCTTAAGCTGGTCACTTCCACCTCTGAGGGGGCCAATTTCTGATCTCAGGGGAGCCATTAGCCTCCATGGGCTCCTCGGCAAGGGGAGGAGGGGGGCAGCTCCACATTCCTGGAAGGGGCAGAGCCTCAGGTGCAAAGGGCAGGGCCAGGGCAGCCAGTCCTCCATGTCACACAGAGCGTGGCATCCTTTCCCTCAGAACTGGTGCTCTAGGGGTGATTTAAAGGGTCCAGGGCTCTGGGTGCAGCAACAGTGATGGCGGCCAAGAGTCCCAGGACGCTTTGACTGGCCAGGCCCTGAGGCCTCCTTTGCCTCCCCTCCACCAGTCAGCAGACCTGTCTGATCTCTTTACTCATGCTGAATGTCACTTACTTTACAAGTAGTCCCAGAGCAGCACTGGGACCATATGTGCTGAAGAGTGCTTAAAAGGATCAGATTTTGGCCCAGAATGACAAGTCTTTCTCTCCTTCTCCCAAAATCCATAGGTTCAGGTAGGTGCTGGGCACTCTGTCGGAATCAGAACACTCCCCAGTGTGCTGGGTCTGCAGCTGGGCACCCCCCATGCCCACCTCATACGAGATCTGAATCCAGGATGATTTCCGACCATCAAGCTTTGAAAGCTTTGTTCAGTTTGAACTGACAGAAGCAATGAAACTTCCGCTACTTCCTTTGAAGAACCTGCTCCAGACACTAATATGTTTCTCTGTTGGGAGCACTTTCCTGATATTTAGTCACAATTTCCATTTACTCGGTTTCCTCCCCTTATTAATACTACTTTGGAGCTCTCTTAATTATTTGTCCCTAGGATTTATTTACACCCTCAAATACCTGTAAATCATTTATCATAACCTCTCCTCCACCTGCCTAGTTATACATAGTTTAATCTTTCCTCAAAATCAAACTCTCCTGCCCCTGTCTTATTGCTCTCTTCTGCACTCTTATCTAGTTTATCCACATCATTTTGATCCAGAAAGCAGGATTTTCAAGGAGGCTTTTAAAAGCAGCTGCTTTGCAGAATCACCAGCAGCTTCCCAATCCACATTACAATATATTCATAATCCTGCAGCTAGTTGTGTTGTCTGCTGCCCCATATGTTCATATGTGGACCTGTTACGTCAATGCTTATTGGCGCTTCCTGTTTCCTTGCGTGCTCATTGTAATACCTTGGCAACATCTGTGCAAAAGTGATGAACATTTCTTCATTAAATTCCAAGGGGAAGTGTTAGTCAGTACTAAGATTTCACTTATCTCCCCATCACAAAAGCCTACAGAACACCATCATTTTTATGTGCTTTTTCTGTGGTAAAATCATCCCTTCATTTGAGTTCTCAATACAGGCTGAGTTTAGAATAGAACCTAGCTATATATGTATCTCAGAATGTTCCGTTTTTGAGCAAAAAATGCAGACACCTGTAGCAAAAACAGGGCTGTCTTCAATTTAGCATTAAAATTAAAATTATTTTCAGTATTTTCAGTTTTGTGGTGAATTTTTTGCACACCTTTCATTAGGAAGAAGGGGGGGGGGAGAATAGGGCAGTGTGCCCTACAAATATTGGGACAGACGTATTCCCAAGTAATCCTATAATTGTCAATATAGTGTCACACCAAGGATGAATCTGGCTCAATATTTTGACAAAATCTACCTAAATGCAAAAGGCTTCCCTTTCCCTTAAATTAAGCTTCCGGACCAGATTAGCCAAAGATTAGTCCAAGATCTCAGAAACCCAGTGTCTTAGGCATCTCCCATAAGATTCTGATGCATGATACTGGCATGGTTGAGGCAGCACCCATACGCTGCCTTGATGCTTTTATTCTAATCTGTGCACGTCCCTCCACCTGTATATTTTAATTACATTCCAGGCACCATGGTTTTATTGGGGTCTCCTTTCTCCATTTCATTCTTTACCACAAGACAACGAGCCTGAACACTGCAGTGGGAGTGCTGAGTCTGCTGTCTGTACCTGCTTGTTGGAGGCGCTCAGAGTCCCAGGTCTGCAGATCACCAGAGGGCCTACTAAGCCGGAATTGGTATCGCGCATGGGATTTACTGCAGATGAGTACATCCGGGTCAGGCAAGGAGGGTCATTGGCTGTGGGTCCAACGTACTCTGGTACAGTCCAGTGGTATGTGAAGTTATGGAGAGGCTCAACTGAAGCCCCGTTCCATGACACACCTTTAAAACACAAAATGCTGATCTATATTCATGTATACAGCTCCTTCTGCAAGCTCGGCAGCACTTTGTGTCATCTGCTACAGTCATTCATTTCACTAATATCAAAGGGTAGCCACCTGGGGTAGAATGAGGCAGCCATTATATAGCTCAGAAATAGAGTCAGGTATATTTACATATAATTGGACATATATGTGTAGCCAAATTTTTTATCGGTGTCATGACAGAGGTGGACCTGAGGGCATGAAATATTGAAATATAGCCCATTAAATCCTCCGGAGAAGTTTGGTAGGTTGAATAAAGCTACCCAAAATAGTGTGACCAAGGATATAAATCTCTTTTCTTGAAAAAGCATTGCAGGATTTTTAGTCATTAAAAATGGCCTGCGCTATGATTTCATCTCTCCCCCAACGTACCCCAATGTGGTCAAATGGAAGAGCATCTCCTACTGAATCATCATCCCTACTTCTCACAGTAAGCAAGCCAAGCATCCCCCACCACCCAATGGGGTTAGCTGCAGACTGTGCAACCACACCACAGGGTTGTCACTGCCTCCGTTTAGACAGAAGGGGTGGGCTGAGAGTAACAAACCATCGTGATCCAGCGTTCCTTCCCACTCCTTTCCATAAAGCACACCATGGGGCTGCATACTGAAGGGCCAAGAGGCTTTGTTTGCAAATGTCACCCAGATAGTGTCTCCTACTTCCGCTTTTATCACTGGACCTGGAGAGACAGAGAGAACACAGGTAATGGAGTGATTTCCAAGATAACTGGACAAAGCAGGCCATCAATGGCTATCTTCTACCCAGAGATCATAGCAACAGACAGTTAATAATAATGGGCCTAGAAGAACTGCCAGCTGCCTGGTTTTGGCCATGCTAGCTTCTCAGGCAGACAGGTGGCTAGGTGGGGGAGTGGGAGAAAGAGCATGTTTAAACATAAAATAGCTTGACATTTGACTGATAATATTCAGTGAAGAGATTACTATGGGCCCTAAAGATTGTGATTACATGGGAGAGAGAAGGAAAGCTACCCCTTACTCCTTAGCTGGTGCAGTGAAAACTCCCCTTCCTGATTTCTGTCCTATTCCTACTCACAACTCCTGATCCTACTTTTAAATCAATGATCAAAGCTCCAGTGATTTTAGTGGGACAGTAGGGATCAGGCCCTTTGTCTCCTTGGACCACTCCCTAACAGCTGCTATGAAAACTATCCCCAATCAGCCAGACTAATCTATCTATTAATATGTCTACTCTAATCCACTCTACTGCTCTGTCACATTCCTGTTGTGTCTCTCACCTGAGTATTATTAGGCATCAAATCCTCAAATTATAGGTGTCACTAAAATTATTCAAAGGAATATATGTTGTGCCCCTCCATGAATGATTCATTTGCTAGTCCCACTCCTTGTGTCTCCTCAGTATCTGACCGCAAAGAGTGCTGCCAGCTCCTCCTTAGAAGAAGTTTCCAAACAGAAAGTAAGGTTTGCATTGTGTCCTGAAGATGCAGTTAGAAGCACAAAATCGGTTAGAACAGGCCTGGACAAAATATGGCCTGTGGGCCACATGCAGCCCACCAAGCCACCAGATCTGGCCAGTGGAGACAGTGGGGAGCCCCAGGCAGTGCTCCCCTGCTTGCCCCACACACCGCTCAGAAATGTGCCTGTGGGGTGCTTTCTCTTTATGAGTCCGGAGAGGAGGGGGGGAAGATGCAGACATTGCTTCCACCCCCAGCACAATCCAATTGGCCGGTTCTGGCTAGAAACTGGCCAGTGGGAGCTGCTTGTTTCAATAACAGGCAGCCAGGAAGCACCACTCCCTCCAGAGCACATGGCTGCTGCTGTGCATGGGCAGGACAGGCAGCAGAGGTTCTTTTTAAAAAAGCCACTAGCTCTGCAGGCAGGCAGGCTGGTTTGGCTGCTGGCTAGTAAGACTCTGGCCAAAGCCTGCCCCTGGCACCCCAGGCCCTCCCTTCTCCAACGCTCTGCCCCACACTCCTGTCCTGCTATTCTACATGCACCCATACCCCTCCATGATCTGGCACCCCAATCTCCTGCTTGAGATCAAAATCCCCTCCTAACCTACGTCACATCCCAAAACCCTTCACCCTAGTCCTTTGCCCTAGGTCACAATGGCCTTCTTCACCCAAACTCCCTCCCCGACTCCATATCCCTCCTGGACCCCAATCCCTTAGAACATAAGAATGGCCATACTGGGTCAGACCAGCGGTCCATCTAGCCCAGTATCCTGTCTTCCAACAGTGGCCAATACTAGATGCCCCAGAGGGAAGGAACAAAACAGGTAATCATCACCTGATCCCTTTCCTGTCACCCATATCCAGACATACTCCTTACCCCAAGCTCCCTTCTGCACCCAACTTCCATCTGGGTATGTCTACACTACCACCCTAGTTCGAACTAGGGTGGTAATGTAGTCAACCGGAGTTGCAAATGAAGCCCGGGATTTGAATTTCCCGGGCTTCATTTGCATGTTGCCGGGCACCACAATTTTTAAATGTCCACTAGTTCGGACTCTGTGCCCCGCGGCTACATGCGGCACGAACTAGGTAGTTCGGACTAGGCTTCCTATTCCGAACTACCTGTACTCCTTGTTCCAGGAGTCCGAACTAGCAGACATTTAAAAATGGCGGCGCCCGGCAACATGCAAATGAAGCCCGGGAAATTCAAATTCTGGGCTTCATTTGCAACTTCGGTTGACTACATTACCACTCTAGTTCGAACTAGGGTGGTAGTGTAGACATACCCTCTCAGACTCGGGATGTAGTAGTGTAGTCAATTAACCTAATTAACCAATAAGCAAAAGCTTATAGGTTAAAGCTATAGACTACACTCCTTCCCTCCCTCCCCCCACTGGTAAATTTGTTAGCAGGCTAGCCAGCAACCTGGTTCAGTCCCAGCTTGTGCTAGGTGCAGGACCTACCCCTGCTGTGGCTCTGCATTTAAAATGTATTAGGAGCCAGGCTGTCAGGCAGCCTGCCTCAGCTTCTGGACTCAGCGCAAGTTGGAACTCAGATCCCCTCCAGACAGCGGCTGGGGCCCCCCCCACCCCCCGCCCCCTTTTCAGCCAGTCGGCACAGGTAGCTGGTTTTTAAACTGGCTCCCCTCGTGAACCAGCTCCCGCCTGGCACCCCATGCTCTTGTCTTTGAATCAGAGGCAGCAGGGAGGAGTGGAAGGGTCTCCTCAGAAGTGGCGCTGAGGTGCACTGGCTGCCGGCCTCACCCCCAGGGATTATAGAATAGTCAAGTAACCAATAAGAATTCATGAAGTTAAGCAACTATTCAATTAACCGATATTTGACATACCTATCCCAGACCCCACATCTCCTCCATTAATACCATGGAAGACAGTGGCCCTTGACCTCTTTCCAAAATCTTGGAGTGGTTCCCCATCAAAAATTATTGCCCACCCCTGAGTTAGAAGCTCAATCAGATGAGCTCTTTGCTGTGGTTGGGTCAGACAGAGATACGGGTACAAGATGTTCCTTGCCCCTTAGTAGCTTCCAAAGATTGCTGTGGCAGAACAATACTGGGTCCCCCCGTCACAAGCATCTCCTCCCTTCCACCACAATAAGTCTCCCATGCGTGAAACAACTGAAGTGTAATGTCATGCAGAAAGCACCTCTACCACAAAAATTGTTATTACTAGGAATTATGGGACAGTGCCAACCAATCAGTATTTCTTGTGCTGGTAGATTAGTCTAGATTAGAAGCTGTAAGAGTATTTATGTCACCAGATAATTCCTACCAAGTATCCCAAGATGCATCTCTTCTTCTGACTGCTGTTTTTCTACCCGGAAAGAGGCATCAGTATATTCCACATACTTGGCCTTCCAGTAGGTTCCCCCGATCCGCCCAGGGCCAGATTTGAAGAACTGCTCCGCAGAACTAAACACAGAGAACAAATTTCATGTCCTTTTATAAAATGTCAAACTCTCCTGCCTCATGAAGGCAGTGACAGCAGCAGCTCTCAGCTCTGAAGCCCTTCAAATTCAGTCTGAACCTCTGATTTTGAAAACCCAGCCGTGTCACAAAGAGTAATGTCGTTAAGTAGCACTTTTCATCCAGAAGTGTGACAATGCCCTTTACAAACTCATATGCAGACTATGCAGAGATCACCTGATGCCCCCAGAAATGCAGCCAAGTCTGTGATGGAACTTGGATGCTGTTTAACAGTTAAACAACAGTTCCATACAACAGCTGAGGTGCAAGATGTACAGAATAGTGTATCAAAATGAAACTGCAGTACTGATTCAGAGGGAAGGATGCCCTCTACTGAATCAACACACTTCAATACCACTTTCCCTGGAGGTCTTAGGAAAGCACTATGAGAATTGGGATTCTTTGGATAGTGACAATCCCAATCCTAAAAGAAACAAAAAACAAATTCCTTCTCTCCTGCCCCTTTCCCCCATTCCAAAATGTGCCTCACAGGAGAAGCAGCACAGTCTAGTGGAGAGAGCATAGAGCCAGGGATTCTTGAGTCACTGTGTGACGTGTTGACAAATCACTTAACCTCTGTGAATTTCAAGTTTTCCCCTTAGATAAAACGAGCATAACGTTTATCACATCCGAGGGATGGATGTGAGATTTCATTAGTTTCTATTTACAGTGTCCTGAAAATTTAAAAAACACCCTTTACATCAGGGTTGAGCAATAATTTTTGATGGGAGGGCCACTCCAAGATTTTGGTAAGTGGTCAAGGGCTGCACTTTTCTAGTGCAGGGTCTGAGACAGAGGTTGTGTGCAGAAGGGAGCTTGGAGTAGAGGACTGGGGACTGAGGTTCAGGAGAGGGTGTGGGGCCTGAGGGAGTTTGGGGGAAGGAGGAGGTTGTGACCTGGGGCAAGGGATTGGGGTGCAGGTTCCAGAGGAGGCATGAGTGCACGATTGGATTCTGACATGGGGGAGGGGTGCAGAAGGTTTAGTTGATGACTTGGGGCAAAGGATTGGGATGCAGAAGAGAGTGCAGGGTCAGGGAGGGGGTATGGGTGCAGGAAACGATTCTGGCCTTGGGAAGGGGAATAGGAGGGGATGCAGGGTCTGGGAGAAAGTTATAACCTGGAGTGGGAGGCGCAGAGGGTTTGGATGGTGACCTGGCACAGGAGGCAGTGGTGACGTGGGGCAGGGAGTTGGGATGTAGGAGGGGGTGGGGTGTCAGATGCAGGATGGAGGTTCTTACCTAGGCAGTTCCTGACCAGCAGCCCAGCGGGACCCTCAGGCCATTCAAAGTAGCTTGCTGCTGAGGCCACGTGCTGCTCTGCACCATGCCCCCCGCCCCCAAACCGGCCAATGGGAGTGGTGCTGATTGTACTTCAGGTAGGGGCAGCACGCAAAGTCTCCCTCAGCCCCCACAAGGGGTGCGTGGCATGTAGGGACATAGGGCCCCCGCAACTGGCATTTTGAGTGGCCTGGGGCTGCAACAAGCAGGGAGCCTCCTTGAGGATCCCAGTGGGCCACAGGCTGGATCCAAAAGCTTGGCAGGCCGGACACAGGCTGCAGGCTGCCGGATGTATTTTGCTTGCCCCTGCTTTACTTGCTAAGTATTATTTAAGCTGTTTCAATTGCTCTGCATTTGCTGCTAGATTTCATGTAGCAAGGCTAGATGGAAGCAAATGCAAATCTGTAGTGCATTTATGCCACCTTGTGCCTGCCACAAGACTTGCTTTTTAAATTGTAACTACATTCTTCTGTCAAACCCGCAGGCTTCTTGCTAAATCACGTACAGTGAGCAGAGATGGAACGGAGGCAACTGATGCATCCCTCAACCATCCAAGATGCCAGGACACCTGGAGTTTTTGTGAACGCATGTTCCATGAATCACATGTTAAATCATTCCATTGAAAAAGGCGTTCCAAATTTCCTTGAGAGTGTTTCTGTCAGCGACCTATTCCTGGCAATGGTTACAGAATTTTGAACAGTGACTTGCATGCAAAAATCTTCTTACCTGCCTGGCTCCTGCAGACTTTTCCCCGTGCTCCGGTCAAACCCTGAGGGTCCATAATTCCACTGTACTTCCTTTGCAGCTATGTAGTATCTCCGGACTCTGCCTTTCAGGGAGGACGCTGGAGTTTTCTGTGAACACTGTCTGACTTCATAGAGCGCCTTCATTCCAGCTGGCCAAGAAATATGGGAAAAGGTATCGCACACTTAACTCCTGTCTGCCAATCTGAATGGAGGATAGACAGGGGACCTATTTCCACACTGCATGACCCATTCTCTTGGCACAAATCCCTGAGCCCAAATTGTGCAGAAATTCTCAAATTGTGCATGGCTGGGAGCAAGTGTTTAGGCAATTTCTTCCCATAGAGTTTCTTTTCCAGCAAGCAGAGGTTCCTACCATAAATACAGGATACTGCATTAGGGTGGTCGGTGGACAAAAAGAGCCCTCAGCCACCCCCATGGGTTAGGGATATGAACAACTAGTCAACTAGTCGACCATCTGATAAGCAAATGCTTATCGGATAGTCGACACAGTAATCAGCTATTTGATCCCCCCACTTGCTGCCTCTATCAGAAAGGGGCAGCAAGGGAGGTGGGGGTGGGAAGAGGAGGGGATGCTTCAAAGCGGCAGTGCCGCATGGAGCCTGGGGCCAGACCCTGGGCTCCACATGGCACTGCCACTTTGAAACACCGCATGCAGCCTGAGGTCAGGGGGGAGTCCCCCGCTGACCCCAGGCTCCATGTGGCGCTGCTGCTTTGAAACTCCGCGGGGAGCACGGGGCCAGCAGGGGACTGTTTGAGTCTCCCACTGGCCGTGTGCTTCCCACAACACTTCAAAGGTGGAGGCGCCCTTATCAACTAATCAAATAGTCAATGTAAATTGCATCGACTATTCGATTAGCCAATTAATCTAAATTTAACATCCCTACTATGCATACCATACAGGTAAAGTCTGGAGAAACTACAATCTGAAGAGACTGCATGTCCCAGAATGCAGAGCTCCACTTTGATATCAAGTGCCTTCTGCAGCACCATTGGCTGCTCCAGTTCTCTGATATTCAGCGCTAAGCAAGATAGAATGTCACATCTGGCATCTATAATCTCTGTAAGATGCACCTGAATATTAAAGTATAGGGGGAGCCATCAGATCAAACCTTTGCTTACACTGCAAGGGGAACCCTTTTACCATGGGGCATTGCCCACAAGGCAGTTCTGCTTCATCCCGGGAACACAGTGGGGAAGTGAATGGAGGCCACAGGGTGCAGGACAGATTCCAGGCTCTGCCTTACCTTGCAAGTGATTGTTGTTCTGACAGCTCAGAAGCCACCTCCCAGTGTTACGTGGAATCATGTCAGCTGTCACAAAAGTGGCTGGGAAGAGGCTGGCCACATCAGATCGGTGGCCTCTGATGGTGAGTGTCTGTCCATGGAAGAAGGCTGTGTGAACATCCGTCTCACTGCCCATCCCAAAGAGGTGCCATGCCACGTGATCTCCAGCACACATTGTCAGCTCAGGCAGGTTCCCATACACATAACCATTAATAGCTGTAAAAACAAGTGAATCAGAAGCAGAGATCAGGAAGCAGGTGGAGGAAGGGTTCACAGTCCATTCTGCAGGTCCCATTACAGAAACACGGGACATTCAGAAAACAGGACTCAACACCACACCTTTCCATTCTGCTTAATCCTGGTGAGCTCACAGCGCTTCCACAAATCATTTTCTAACATGGATCTTATTCTGGAACTCAGATTAATGTCCACATGTGAACTGAAGAGAAAAGCCAAAACCCTAACCAAATGATACTTGTTTTGATTGTGTTGGTGTAGCTGCCCCTGTGATAGGACAGCTTTCAGCACATGGTCTCAGCTTCTCAAACCATCCCTACATACCTCAGATTAGACTGTACTTCAGGGTATCAGGGAAGGAGCTGCCCAGGTCTAGAATGACTAGGAAAAAACAGCAGGTGGTTAAAGGAGGCACCCACCATGCATTCTGTTACTTTCTTGGAACTCCTCATTTTCCTTATCAACAGATTCTGGATCTGTGCAGAACAATGCAATGTTCTCTTCCAGGTGCCAGCTCAGGTTCTCATCAATCACACTGAACATGAGAAAAAAATCAAGGTCCACATCATGACGTCTTTGAGATGTGCCAGTCAGAGCTCCTAGGGCAAGACAGAGGATTAGTGGCTCCCACTGCAAAGCCAAGATCTGTCAATGTATTTAATGAGATGAGTTCTGTTAATTCACCAACAGCCTGAGATTCCTGCTCTCCCTGCTATTCCAACCCAGACTCTCACTGAGTTCTACCAATGCACCTCACCCTAGACCTGCAGTACTCTCTATTAGTCCATTCCTAAATTCCAATGCATCTCACTTCTGATTCATAGCAGTCCTGGATCTGTCAATAGTATTGTCACTGTTGCTAAAATCTTGTGGAGTTTAAAGTATATTTTCTCTCTCTCTCTCTCTCTCTCTCTCTCTCTCTCTCTCTCGCATTTCGACTGATCCCCAGAAATGAAAAGCTAATGTACTAAACTTCTTAGCCACAAAGAAATAAATACAACTTTAATAATCAGAATAAATCTAGACTACAAGAACTATCTCAGATTACATGTAAATTCCACAGGAACTAGAGAGCTGTCCAACAAAGCATCACTTCTTGCCTTACCATAACTGAGGTCACTGTAAAATCTCCAGTATCTGTGTGAAGCAGTAACTCTAAGCTGTCTTTTCCCTGAGGTTTTACCTTCTTTGCATGTCAGTAAAGGCCCAATCAACCCAGAAGCTATGTCCTTTGGTGCATCAATGTGAGAGTGGTAGACCCAGGTCAAGCAAGTTGGGTCATCAGCCATTGGGCTATGATCTTCAGGGATAGTCCAAGTATATGTATAATTTCCTCCTGGTGGAACAGCATCATCCTTCTTATGATCCTCTGAGGACTCATCGGGGTACAGGGACCCTGTAATAATTGAGCAATCACAGCATCCATTCAAGTTTGGCAGAGAGCATATTATATATAAAGCTGCACTGCATTTCTCACACTAGATAGAGAACATATGGCTACAAGTTACGTTTCCCACTTCAGTAGCACCTTTCAAATTAAGACTCACTCCATGTAAGTGACGTTATATACTCATTATTTTTCCAATGGATAAATTGAGGCACTGAAAAAGTTAATTGACTTTAGTACAGTAGTGGCCAATCCAGAAAGCTCTCCATGTTCTAATCATTGCTTCTTTATATTTTTATTAGAAAACAGAGAACTATGCTAAATTTTCCGTTCAAATATGCAGTAGCCCAGAAATAGTTATTTTCTAAATTCCCAGGGACTATTTTAAACAGTGACTCTTTGTACTAACAGGCTATCATTCCTGTGGCACCTACAAGATTCAGCATATTAAAGACATCTAAATATGTATAACACTATAATATAAATGTTCATTAGCTACTACCTTGCTGGTCCTCAGCACCTGTATTCCAGCAATGATAGGGTTACTAAGATTGTGTTCTTTAATGCATTTAATTAACGTGTTCATCTTTGAAACTGTACATCCATGCTTAGGAACCCACTAACCCTGCATCAGGTAGTATTGCTAAAAGCTCAGCTAACTATACCAGTTTTCCAGGTGATATTGCTTTGAACCAACCCAAACATGTCCTTTTCTCAGCTGGTTTTGCTTTCCTACCTGTTCCTAAATTCACAGTGGGCAAACTATGAATCTGAATGCAGGCAGCAGGCACTCTTTACCTTCTGAGTCCTTCGTGTAGAAGACGCCATGAGGATGGATTGTGTATGGCCGGCTGGCAAAATTTTTTAGGTGCAGGGTAATAGTGTCACCCACTTCTCCTCGTATGATGGGCCCAAGAAATCCCAGCCAGGCAGGTTCCATTCAAAGTAGCTTGCTGCTGAGGCCACGTGCTGCTCTGCACCATGCCCCCCGCCCCCAAACCGGCCAATGGGAGTGGTGCTGATTGTACTTCAGGTAGGGGCAGCACGCAAAGTCTCCCTCAGCCCCCACAAGGGGTGCGTGGCATGTAGGGACATAGGGCCCCCGCAACTGGCATTTTGAGTGGCCTGGGGCTGCAACAAGCAGGGAGCCTCCTTGAGGATCCCAGTGGGCCACAGGCTGGATCCAAAAGCTTGGCAGGCCGGACACAGGCTGCAGGCTGCCGGATGTATTTTGCTTGCCCCTGCTTTACTTGCTAAGTATTATTTAAGCTGTTTCAATTGCTCTGCATTTGCTGCTAGATTTCATGTAGCAAGGCTAGATGGAAGCAAATGCAAATCTGTAGTGCATTTATGCCACCTTGTGCCTGCCACAAGACTTGCTTTTTAAATTGTAACTACATTCTTCTGTCAAACCCGCAGGCTTCTTGCTAAATCACGTACAGTGAGCAGAGATGGAACGGAGGCAACTGATGCATCCCTCAACCATCCAAGATGCCAGGACACCTGGAGTTTTTGTGAACGCATGTTCCATGAATCACATGTTAAATCATTCCATTGAAAAAGGCGTTCCAAATTTCCTTGAGAGTGTTTCTGTCAGCGACCTATTCCTGGCAATGGTTACAGAATTTTGAACAGTGACTTGCATGCAAAAATCTTCTTACCTGCCTGGCTCCTGCAGACTTTTCCCCGTGCTCCGGTCAAACCCTGAGGGTCCATAATTCCACTGTACTTCCTTTGCAGCTATGTAGTATCTCCGGACTCTGCCTTTCAGGGAGGACGCTGGAGTTTTCTGTGAACACTGTCTGACTTCATAGAGCGCCTTCATTCCAGCTGGCCAAGAAATATGGGAAAAGGTATCGCACACTTAACTCCTGTCTGCCAATCTGAATGGAGGATAGACAGGGGACCTATTTCCACACTGCATGACCCATTCTCTTGGCACAAATCCCTGAGCCCAAATTGTGCAGAAATTCTCAAATTGTGCATGGCTGGGAGCAAGTGTTTAGGCAATTTCTTCCCATAGAGTTTCTTTTCCAGCAAGCAGAGGTTCCTACCATAAATACAGGATACTGCATTAGGGTGGTCGGTGGACAAAAAGAGCCCTCAGCCACCCCCATGGGTTAGGGATATGAACAACTAGTCAACTAGTCGACCATCTGATAAGCAAATGCTTATCGGATAGTCGACACAGTAATCAGCTATTTGATCCCCCCACTTGCTGCCTCTATCAGAAAGGGGCAGCAAGGGAGGTGGGGGTGGGAAGAGGAGGGGATGCTTCAAAGCGGCAGTGCCGCATGGAGCCTGGGGCCAGACCCTGGGCTCCACATGGCACTGCCACTTTGAAACACCGCATGCAGCCTGAGGTCAGGGGGGAGTCCCCCGCTGACCCCAGGCTCCATGTGGCGCTGCTGCTTTGAAACTCCGCGGGGAGCACGGGGCCAGCAGGGGACTGTTTGAGTCTCCCACTGGCCGTGTGCTTCCCACAACACTTCAAAGGTGGAGGCGCCCTTATCAACTAATCAAATAGTCAATGTAAATTGCATCGACTATTCGATTAGCCAATTAATCTAAATTTAACATCCCTACTATGCATACCATACAGGTAAAGTCTGGAGAAACTACAATCTGAAGAGACTGCATGTCCCAGAATGCAGAGCTCCACTTTGATATCAAGTGCCTTCTGCAGCACCATTGGCTGCTCCAGTTCTCTGATATTCAGCGCTAAGCAAGATAGAATGTCACATCTGGCATCTATAATCTCTGTAAGATGCACCTGAATATTAAAGTATAGGGGGAGCCATCAGATCAAACCTTTGCTTACACTGCAAGGGGAACCCTTTTACCATGGGGCATTGCCCACAAGGCAGTTCTGCTTCATCCCGGGAACACAGTGGGGAAGTGAATGGAGGCCACAGGGTGCAGGACAGATTCCAGGCTCTGCCTTACCTTGCAAGTGATTGTTGTTCTGACAGCTCAGAAGCCACCTCCCAGTGTTACGTGGAATCATGTCAGCTGTCACAAAAGTGGCTGGGAAGAGGCTGGCCACATCAGATCGGTGGCCTCTGATGGTGAGTGTCTGTCCATGGAAGAAGGCTGTGTGAACATCCGTCTCACTGCCCATCCCAAAGAGGTGCCATGCCACGTGATCTCCAGCACACATTGTCAGCTCAGGCAGGTTCCCATACACATAACCATTAATAGCTGTAAAAACAAGTGAATCAGAAGCAGAGATCAGGAAGCAGGTGGAGGAAGGGTTCACAGTCCATTCTGCAGGTCCCATTACAGAAACACGGGACATTCAGAAAACAGGACTCAACACCACACCTTTCCATTCTGCTTAATCCTGGTGAGCTCACAGCGCTTCCACAAATCATTTTCTAACATGGATCTTATTCTGGAACTCAGATTAATGTCCACATGTGAACTGAAGAGAAAAGCCAAAACCCTAACCAAATGATACTTGTTTTGATTGTGTTGGTGTAGCTGCCCCTGTGATAGGACAGCTTTCAGCACATGGTCTCAGCTTCTCAAACCATCCCTACATACCTCAGATTAGACTGTACTTCAGGGTATCAGGGAAGGAGCTGCCCAGGTCTAGAATGACTAGGAAAAAACAGCAGGTGGTTAAAGGAGGCACCCACCATGCATTCTGTTACTTTCTTGGAACTCCTCATTTTCCTTATCAACAGATTCTGGATCTGTGCAGAACAATGCAATGTTCTCTTCCAGGTGCCAGCTCAGGTTCTCATCAATCACACTGAACATGAGAAAAAAATCAAGGTCCACATCATGACGTCTTTGAGATGTGCCAGTCAGAGCTCCTAGGGCAAGACAGAGGATTAGTGGCTCCCACTGCAAAGCCAAGATCTGTCAATGTATTTAATGAGATGAGTTCTGTTAATTCACCAACAGCCTGAGATTCCTGCTCTCCCTGCTATTCCAACCCAGACTCTCACTGAGTTCTACCAATGCACCTCACCCTAGACCTGCAGTACTCTCTATTAGTCCATTCCTAAATTCCAATGCATCTCACTTCTGATTCATAGCAGTCCTGGATCTGTCAATAGTATTGTCACTGTTGCTAAAATCTTGTGGAGTTTAAAGTATATTTTCTCTCTCTCTCTCTCTCTCTCTCTCTCTCTCTCTCTCTCGCATTTCGACTGATCCCCAGAAATGAAAAGCTAATGTACTAAACTTCTTAGCCACAAAGAAATAAATACAACTTTAATAATCAGAATAAATCTAGACTACAAGAACTATCTCAGATTACATGTAAATTCCACAGGAACTAGAGAGCTGTCCAACAAAGCATCACTTCTTGCCTTACCATAACTGAGGTCACTGTAAAATCTCCAGTATCTGTGTGAAGCAGTAACTCTAAGCTGTCTTTTCCCTGAGGTTTTACCTTCTTTGCATGTCAGTAAAGGCCCAATCAACCCAGAAGCTATGTCCTTTGGTGCATCAATGTGAGAGTGGTAGACCCAGGTCAAGCAAGTTGGGTCATCAGCCATTGGGCTATGATCTTCAGGGATAGTCCAAGTATATGTATAATTTCCTCCTGGTGGAACAGCATCATCCTTCTTATGATCCTCTGAGGACTCATCGGGGTACAGGGACCCTGTAATAATTGAGCAATCACAGCATCCATTCAAGTTTGGCAGAGAGCATATTATATATAAAGCTGCACTGCATTTCTCACACTAGATAGAGAACATATGGCTACAAGTTACGTTTCCCACTTCAGTAGCACCTTTCAAATTAAGACTCACTCCATGTAAGTGACGTTATATACTCATTATTTTTCCAATGGATAAATTGAGGCACTGAAAAAGTTAATTGACTTTAGTACAGTAGTGGCCAATCCAGAAAGCTCTCCATGTTCTAATCATTGCTTCTTTATATTTTTATTAGAAAACAGAGAACTATGCTAAATTTTCCGTTCAAATATGCAGTAGCCCAGAAATAGTTATTTTCTAAATTCCCAGGGACTATTTTAAACAGTGACTCTTTGTACTAACAGGCTATCATTCCTGTGGCACCTACAAGATTCAGCATATTAAAGACATCTAAATATGTATAACACTATAATATAAATGTTCATTAGCTACTACCTTGCTGGTCCTCAGCACCTGTATTCCAGCAATGATAGGGTTACTAAGATTGTGTTCTTTAATGCATTTAATTAACGTGTTCATCTTTGAAACTGTACATCCATGCTTAGGAACCCACTAACCCTGCATCAGGTAGTATTGCTAAAAGCTCAGCTAACTATACCAGTTTTCCAGGTGATATTGCTTTGAACCAACCCAAACATGTCCTTTTCTCAGCTGGTTTTGCTTTCCTACCTGTTCCTAAATTCACAGTGGGCAAACTATGAATCTGAATGCAGGCAGCAGGCACTCTTTACCTTCTGAGTCCTTCGTGTAGAAGACGCCATGAGGATGGATTGTGTATGGCCGGCTGGCAAAATTTTTTAGGTGCAGGGTAATAGTGTCACCCACTTCTCCTCGTATGATGGGCCCAAGAAATCCCAGCCAGGCAGGTTTGGGGATCTCTTTTGTATATGTGGAGTCTGAGTATTGCTTATACACAGATTTTTTGTAAATGCTTCCCACCCTGTCCTTGCCAGGCTTGAGGAACATAGCGGCTTCTCTGTTAAATTCAAAAGAGGACAACAGTCAGATCATGAATAATATGCTATCTGCGATGGCTACATGCCCTGGGGAGTAGTGAAAAAGGGACACTTAATGTAGCTTTCTCAGTTGACACCTAGAGCCTGTGCTATGCCAGCACTCCACCCCTACTCTTAGTCCAGCATTATGCTTCTTCTTCCAGGACCCTATGGCAGCACTGGGAATGCAATCTGGCTGGACATGAACACTGGCCTATCTACTCTTGTGTGGTTTTTGAGTGTTGTAAAGTATGGGAAGAGCTCACACAATGTAAGATCAGCAGACAATCTAGCTAAGACTTGATCTCTGGCTGTGGTCAGTGCTACCTGCTGCAGAGGAAGCCCTGAAACAAGCCCCAAATGTATGTAACTATGGATGCTATACAAAGGAGAAAAGGGGGATAATATATTTCTGATCTGGTGCTCATTTTATGCACTAAGGAATGAAAGTTGAGAACCCTAGTAATTGCTATCCTACCTATTGTGCCGGTTCTTTAAATTCAATTCAAGGTTTTCTTCTAGTGCAGCACTGCCGACTGGAGCTACCTGCTGCAAATTGTACCCGGAAAAAAACATTTCAAGAGCTCTCTCACAAAGACTGATACAAGACTATGGCGAGTTTCAAGTCAGGAGCCAATATGAAATATTAATGGAAAAAATAGAAAGCTCAGGCTGATGTGTCCCCAGAAACATATCTAACCTTCAGAGTTTAAACCCTTTACAAGCATCCAAAGGTCAATTCAGTAGTGATTGCTTTTTTGTAATCATTTCCTACTAGATGATAGGTGACTCTTGGCTCAAGTATGTATTAGTGTGTCATAATGGAAGGTGAAGCTATTTTTTCCCCTAGGAAGCATCACTGCTTCAGCAATAAAAATGGGCAAACCGTAGTAAAGGAAAACTGTTCTTCATAGACTCAGTGTTGTACTGCTGAAGTCACCCCAGAACCTTGTCATTCTCTGTCCTAGAGAAGGGTGGGTCTATTAATATGCAGCACAGAGCTGCACGAGAGAACCTGGCAGTGACTTGAGTTTTATGAAATCTTATACAAAATTATGTTATGTAGTTTAATAAATAGTAACTTTTATTTAGCACTTTTCATTTCAAAGTACTTTATGAAGGCGGTCAGTTTCATTATCCCTATTTTAGAGGCACTGGAGGGAAAGGGACATGTCCTGGGTCACTCAGGCTATGTCTACACTATGGAGTTTTTCTGGGATACCTATCCCAGAAAAACTCTGTCACATCCAGAGAACGTGTCTGCTCTTCCAAATTTTTTTTCAGAAGAACAGACGTGCTCTTTCAGAAGTCCTCTATTCCTCATTTTAAAAGGAATAAGGGATCTTCCGAAAGAGGAGGTTTTTCCAGCATTTTGCCTCATGTAGACAGGCCAAATGTCAGAAAAGCCTCTTCTAAAATAAGAATCGGAAAAAGGTATGCAAAGTTTGGTTTGCAATTTATGTACCTTTCTCCCAAAAACCCCGGCTGTGTCTAGACTGGCCAGTTTTTCCACAAAATCATCTGTTTTTGTGGAAAAACTTGCCAGCTGTCTACACTGGCTGCTTGAATTTCCACAAGAACACTGACGATCTCGTGTAAGATCGTCAGTGTTCTTGCGGAAATACTATGCTGCTCCTGTTTGGGCAAAAGCCCTCTTGTGCAAATGATTTGCGCAAGAGGACCAGTGTAGACAGCACAGTACTGTTTTACGCAAAAAAGCCCCGATGGCTAAAATGGCGATCAGGGCTTTTTTGCGCAAAAGCGCATCTAGATTGGCACGGACGCGTTTCCGCAAAAAGTGCTTTTGCGGAAAAGCGTCCATGCCAATCTAGATGCTCTTTTCTGAAAATGCTTTTAACGGAAAACTTTTCCGTTAAAAGCATTTCCAGGAAATCATGCCAGTGTAGACGTAGCCCCCCAGGGGTGTGTCTAGACTACATGCCTCCTTCGACGGAGTCATGTAGATTAGCCAGATC